GCTCCTCTGTTGATTAAATAAATAAATAAATAAACAGGAGGTCGGTTGGATTTAACAGGGCCAAGCCTCATCCATGACTCATCAGTGTCCATGTAGGGCTTTGTGCTTGCTTCATCAGCACATACAATAAAATTGAAAGAATATGGAAAAGATTAGCATGGTCCTTGCCCAAGGATGGCATGAAAATTTGTGAAGCATTCCATATTTTATGCAGTCATTTGAACATCATTTGACTATTTGCTGACTAGCCCCAAGGAAACAGTGTGTGTCAAAGCAAAACGGGTGTCACTCAATATTAAAATTGTGATTTTTCACTAAAAAGAAAATTGTGTAAAGTGATGTATGAAATGACAGTGGAGTTGAGTATTGGACATGTATAATGTTATCGTGCAAATATGTTGTTGGTACTTATCTCAGACATGAGAAAATGTTAACTGACATCTCCTTCACTGAACTTAGAAAAAATAAAAGTAACGTGTTACTTTCCACATCACTTGGTGAGAAACATGAAGATTAAGCATCATGCTAACAAAGATCTGCTAGTTCAGAGTTTGAGTAGGTAAAGAAGGAACAGTAGTAGTCCAAGCCAGGTCTTGACATTTATTAGTTTTCTACCCTTGGTGTGACTGATTAGCTCAGTAATGGGGAACATTTATGTTATCTAATTTAATGAGGTAATGTTTATAAATAAATTTTGTTAAAATTATGAAATAGCTGAGATACCCTGAATTACAAGCCACAAAGAATATGGCAACTAATAATCAAAATTAGGACTTAATAACATTTTTGGAAAACTTCAACATTTGAATATTGCAACCTATGGAAAACTACAGAATGGATTTTTGAAATTTTTTTTTATTTTTGAGACAGAGTCTCACTCTGTTGCCCAAGCTAGAGTGCCGTGGCATCAGCCTAGCTCACAGCAACCTCAGACTCCTGGGCTCAAGCGATCTTCCTATCTCAGCCTCCTGAGTAGCTGGGACTACAGGCACTCACCACCATGCCCC